GAGCTTTACTCTGTATCTAACCCCGTGCTGTCCCTGTCCCTGTCCTGGGAGTGTTTGATGGGGATGCTCTCCCTTTTATTTGAGGATGGAGCGGGCAGTGTTTCCCATTCTGTTGCGTTTTTGGAGATGTGTTGGTCACGCCTCGTATCTGATGTCCTGCGGGGAATGATTTTGTCACCAGCTGCGCCCACCACCTCCCCCCACCTCCCCCATTCCTGGAGCCTGGAGAAATTGCTCAGACCCCAGGCAAGCTACGGGCCGAAGTGTCTCTTGCGCTGTGGGCAGCGCTGTAGTGCAGTACAGATTTATCACGCTGCCTGTTCTCTCTGGGCCTGTGTGTGTGTGTGTGTTTCATACCATCCCTACAGAGTACAAACAGGCCATTCAGCCCAAGTCCACACCGCCCCCTCCGAACAGCATCCCATCTAGAGCCCCTACCCTTTCCCTGTAACCCTGCATTGCCCATGTCTAATCCAACCAATTTACACATCCCTGAACACTACAGGATAATTTAGCGCGGCCAATCCGCCTCGCCTGCACATCGTTGGAATGTGGGAGGAAACCGGAGCACCTGGAGGAAACCCATGCAGACACGGGGAGAACGTGCAAACTCAATGTGTGTGTGTATGTGTATCTATGTGTGCGTGAGTGTGTGTGTGTGAAATTGTGTGTTTCTGTGAGTGTGTGTGAGTGGTGTATCTGTGTGTGTGAGTATGTGTATCTGTGTGCGTGTGTGAATGTGTATCTGTGTGTATGTGTGTGTACATCTGTGTGTGAGTGGTGTATCTGTGTGTGTGTGTGAGTATGTGCGGATATGTGTATGTGTGTGTGTGATTATGTGTGTATGTGTGTGAGTATGTGTTTCTGTGTGTGTGTGAATGTGTATGTGTGTGTCTGTTTGTGTGTATGAGTGGTGTAACTGTGTGTGTGTGAGTATGTGTGTATGTGCGTGTGTATCTGTGTGTGTGAATGTGTAACTGAGTATGTGTGTGAGTGCATATGTATGTGTGTACCTGTATATGTGTGTATGTATGTATTTTTGTGTGTGTATGTGTATCTGTGTATGAGTGGGTATCTGTGTATGAGTGAGTATGTGTGTGTGTATCTGTGTATGTATCTGTGTGTGTGTATCTGTGTATGTGTGTGTGTATCTATGTATGTGTGTATCTGTGTATGAGTGAGTATGTGTATGTGTGTCTGTGTATGAGTGAGTATCTGTGTATGTGTGTGTGAATGTGTAAATTTCAGGATGGGGGTTGGGTTCCCCGGTGCTACGCTGTTAATCTCAGTCAGTTCCTCTGGAACCCAGTTTACTGCTTTGCTCTGGATGTCAGCGTCCTGTGCTATCTCCCCCAAACCCCTACCACGCCCCCCAACCTCTCCCTCTCCCCTCTCTTCGTCTCCCTCCCGCAGAATTTTGGATTTCTACCGCCCACTCTGAACTGAGTTGGGGCGGCAGCTGCAACCCTCAGTTACTGTGTGAACAGAAAAAGCAGAAGTTTTTTTTTTGCCAGCGATTGCTTGCTGAATTGCAGAGAGAGGTCGGGTCATCGCACTTATTTTGCAGCGAGCTCTGAGCTCCCTGCGGTTTCACACACACACACAGATCTGCAAAATAACTAAAAGTTCTCCAGCGCACGGTTCGCTCCAGCTCCACGCTTGGGCCAGTTCGCTTCGGTTGAGGATGGTTTTATTTTGTGCGTCTGGCCTGGGGACAGTGAACTGGGCTAGGTTTGGGAGTTACTTATCCTTTGCCCCAGCCGCCCCTCAGCGCAGTCACACCAAACTCCTAACTGCCATGCAACAGAATGTTTGCTGTCTCTCTCCCTCCCCTCCCTTTGCTACAACAGCCTCAGGAAACTAGGACAGGAAACATGAGTTTTGTGGCCGGAAGCCTCCTCGCTTGAGATAAGGCACCTGATGAAATTTGCTTTTGAGCTTAATGTCAATTTCGCTTTAAATAAACGCACACCATCCTTGAACTGAGCGGAGAGAGAGAGAGAGAGAAATACAGACCTCCATTGGCGTCTAAGACAGAAACTTCCTTTTCTCCTTCCTCCGCCTGTCCATCTCCTGATGAGATGGACATTGACAATATTTATTATAACTGGTCATTTTTATATTCCCCCAGTTTCCCTCCTTGCCCACAGCACAGCTCCGTGTCCAGTCCAAAGCATCTGGATAGGGACATGAATAGGAGGGGTTTGGAGGGATATGGGCCAAATGCTGGCAAATGGGACTGGATTAATTTAGGATCATGGTTGGCAATGGATTGAAGAGTCTGTTTCCATGTTGTGTGACTCTATGAGGTGTGTGTTTGAGGGCGTGGGGAGGCGCAGGTGGGATGTAGGGAGGGAGTGTGTGTGTGTGTGTGTGAGAGAGAGAGAGAGGAACCGCCCCAGAGCCTTATAGCTTTATGCAAAACAAAATCTCTCCTTCCAACTCCAATAGGTCACACCCCAAACCGCTTAAAAATCAGATCGCAATTCGCAAATTCTGCATGGATCGCTGGTGGTCTTCGATTTGTTCCTGACTGAAGTCTATCCTCAGATGGACGGCGTATCCCCAGAGAGAGAGAGAAGCTCCGGACCAGGGGAGCAGCACATCAGTGGTTTTGCTCTGTTTGCAATATTGTGCATTTGAGAGTTGAGAGTGCGCGTCCGCCGGACACTGGGGTTTATCTCTGTCTCTCTCTCTCTCTCTCTGGTTATTACATTGCAAACTTCGAACCGCTAACGGGAAGGAAGAGAATTTCACTGGAAGGAAAGAGTGGGGAGAGAGAGAGAGAGAAGGCGCGCTCTGCTGACTTTGAGATGAAAGCTGCTGTGGGTGGCTTCCCCTTCCCCCTATCAGCTCCGGGCTGCAGGAGCGTGAAATGTCTCCGCTGTTACCTTGATGGTGCAGTCCATAGCTGTCCGCCGCCCCACTCCCGGGGAGCAGGTACCGCCTGTCTCCCTGTCCCTCTGTCCCGGGGCTCACTCCGGCACTCTCTGACCCCGGTGGTACGCGCTCACGGGCCGCTCCTCTCGCCCGCCAGGGTCGGTAGGCTTTTTTTTACGCTTCACAGCAACCACCGGATGAGAAAAAATACTGTGTTCTAAATTTGGGAAGTGAAGTCAGCGGCAAGTGCAAACTGTCCTGCTATTGGCGGAGGTCGGACTGAGTGCAGCTCTCAAGCAGCAGACTAAAAGTTCGGCAGAAAAGTTTGAGGCGCAGAGGGTATGGGAGAGAGAGAGAGAAAGTGTGTGTATGTGTGTGCGTAAGACAGAAGGTAAGAGAGAGAGAGAGATAGAGGATGGGTAAGGGAGAGAGTGTGTTGGGTAACTGGAGAGAGAGTGTGCGTAAAAGAGAAAGCAGCAGAATGTGGGTAAAGGAGAGAGAGAGAGTGTTGGGTTACGGAGAGAGACAGTATGTACGTAAGGGAGAAGCAGAGTGGGTAACGGAGAGAGAGTGTGCGTAAAAGAGAAGGTAACAGAGACAGAGTTGGTAAGGGAGAGAGAGAGAGTGTGGGTAAGGGAGAAGGAGAGAGAGTGTGTGGGTAAGGGAGAGAGAGAGAGTGTGGGTAAGCGAGGCAAAGAGGGTAAATGACAGTGTGTGGATTAGAAAGATATTCACCAGATATTCACAATACAGAAAGATTGTGCGTAAGAGAGGGAGAGAGGCTAATGGAAAGAGAGTGTCGGTAAATAGAGAGACAGTCAGAAATACAGAGATGGTAATGGAGAAAGTACTGGTAAGAAAGAGAGATACAGAGAGGGTAATAGAGAGAGTGTGGGTAAGTGAGAGAGATACAGAGAGGGTAATAGAGAGAGTGTGGGTAAGTGAGAGAGATACAGAGAGGGTAATAGAGAGAGTATGGGTGAGAGAGAGAGATGCAGAGTGGGTAATAGAGAGACAGAGTAAGAGAGATGGATACACAAAGAGAGAGACAGAGAGGGTAAGAGGGAAAATGTGGGGTAAGAGAGGTGAGTCTAATATAGAGAAAATGCAAGTGAGAGAGAGGCACAGAGAGAGAGAGAAATAGAGTCTGTGTGGATAAGACAGAGATACAGAGCTTAATAGTGGGGATGTGCCTAAGAAAGAGAGAGAGATACATTGAGAGAGATAGAAAGGAGTTAATAGAAGGGGTGTGTGGGTAAGAGAGAAAGAGGGACAGAGTGAGAATAACACAGGTGGAGAGCACAAGATACAGACTTTATCACAGAAAAAGTGGGTAACAGAGAGAGGAGATACAACGTTTGTTACAGAGAGAGTAAGAGAGAGTTGGGTAACAGAGAGAGGGAGAGAGACATGGAGTAACAGAAAGAGAGATGGGTATCAGAAAGATACAGAGTGGGTGAAAGAGAGAGAGAGACTCAAAGATATAGAGATAGAGTAGGTAACAGAGAGAGAGGTAGTGAGCGGGGCTAACAGAGAAATCAGAGTGATAGTAACAGAAAACATAGAAAACAAGGTAAATAAAACATGGAAAGATTGAGATCAGAGAGAAGAAAAGCGATCTCAAGGAGGAAGAGACTAGCACAGGGAAAGGTGAGAAAGGGGGGAGAGAGAGAGAGAGGGACAGTTAGAGGAAGCTCAGAGAAGGGATGACGCAGCAAGCTCTCAGAAAAGACAAAACAGCATCAAGTACAGAGACAGAAATCTGGGTTGGGAGAAATCGAAGACAGAATGAGAGAGCTCAGAGAGAAAGAGAGTAACGCAGAGAATGAGAAAAAGAGACAGTGTGAATTACAGATAAAAAGAGTCCAAAGAGAGAATCCCGAGATACAGGCAGAGAGACAGAGACTGAGAGGAAGAGAAAGGCAGATTAATACAAAGTGAAGGAGCTCAGAGAATCTGTAACAAAAATATAAGGGATAAAGAGAAAAAACACAGAGAGAGACTGAGCAACACAGGGAGAAAGAAGCCTGAGAGAGACAGTGATGAACAGAAAAGTTGGAGAGAAAGAGAGATGAGGAGAACAAGATCTGAGAGAGAGAGCGAGTAGCACAGAGAAGAAGAGTTCAGAGACAGAGAGAGAGAGAGAGAAACCTTCTGGCTCAAAGGAAGGGCAGTACCATTGTGTCGTAAGCAGCAGTTGCTGTAAACTGTTATTTTTACTAGTAGCTAAGATACTTTGTAGTTTGTGACCCAGTGACTCTATGTGGTAGAAACAGGGATATTAACAGAGAAATGAAAGGAGAACTTTAGAATAAAGGGAATATTTTTCCCTCAGCTGATGCTGCAAGTTGTGACATTGAATTGGATTAGCCAAAGACCTTTCATATGTGAAGCATTCAGCAGACAGAGCATAGTGCAACCTATGGAACATTTACATGAGCATAGAGAGGCAACGATAGAAAGAAACAGAGTAAGAGAAAAAGTAATGGAACAGAGAAAGTGTCAAATAATGAACAGAGTACCAAGTAAGGGTGGCACGGTGGCTCAGTGGTTAGTGCTGCTGCCTCACACACTGCCAGGGGCACAGGTTTGATTTCACCCTCCAGCAACTATCTGTCTGGAGTTTGCACACTTTCCCTATGTCTGCATGGGTTTTGACTGGGTGTTTTGGTTTCCTCTCAGAGTCCAAAGATGTGCAGGCTAGGTGGATTAGCCATACTAAATATTCTGTAGTGTCCAGAGATGTGTAGGTTAGGTAGATTAGCAATGGGATAGGGTAGAAAGATGGATCTGAGTGGGATGCTCTTCAGAGAGTCAGTGTGGACTTGATGGACCAAATGGCCTGCTTCCACACTGTAGATATTCTAAGTCTCTATAAAATTGTGAATATTCTCTCACTATTTATGCCAGATACTCTCTCTGCGATCCATTAGTATTGATTCACATTTACACTGATAGTCTCTCTCTTTCGAGCTTTCTGATATTTTATCTTGGTTCAGAGTAAGTGTCACTCAACCCTAAACGTTAACTCTATTTCTCTCTACAGATGCTGCCAGACCTGCTGAGTTTTTCCAGCAATTTCTGTTTTTCTTTCTGATAGTTTTCTCAGTTGCTTTAATATTCTCTTCATTATTCTTTGATATTTTCTCTGTTATTCAGATACTCTGTCTCCAGTAGTCTTTCATATCCTCTCTTTCACTGCACGTTTGATTTTAGCAATAAAACTAAAGATTTTTATATGAAAGAAAGAACAAATTAATAAATTAAATGAAGCTATTTAGACATAGCCCAGTTTGCAAACATCTGTCCAAACAAATTCCATTTACTCACCAACATTGCCACTTCATACATAATCAAAATCCAGAGAATATTTCCCTAATTATCAAATGTGAGTTTGACTTGGCTGTATCTTTTCCGACTCAGACCTATGAACTGTAAAGCCTTTTCTCTTTGACTAACACTATTGAGAGCTTATATTTTTTCAGCTTTGAATAAAAATTGCGGCTTTCTGACCGAACACACATGGTCTGGATATTTCCACAATCTGATGCCCTTACATTGCAGTAAATTGTTCTCTCAACTGCTCTGAAAAAAATGTAATTCTTGTAGGCAAAATTGTTCTTACATCTGACTTCAGTAAAGCCTCCTTCAAAACTAATACAGAAGCTATTAAATAATTTCTCTGAAAGAAGAAAAATGATCATCATAGCTTCTGCTAAGTTAATGTCTCTTTTTTCTGTCAGAAAAACCCACAAAATCAACAAACTTCCATTAACACTCCAAGATGCTTCTGTCATCTGAAGTCTGACATATGATAGTTTAAAATCATAGTTCTGAAAAAAAACTGATTAATTATTAATTACTAAACTTCTTTAAAGTTCATACCCCATTAATTGTTAAATCTAATCTCAAAAATATATATGAACACCTATGTGCCACTAGTTTGAAATCTCTTAAAAAAAGTTAACTTATACAAATCGTGCACAATCAATCACATCTTCCCAAAAAGAATAATGAAAATTTATCTTTAGAAGACATTTTTGTTTTGCACAAAATGCTTTGTAAGATTATTTTCATGTTATGTGAACAGGAATACCAAAATGGCACTACATATACAATGCATTTTGACTTAAGTCCAATTCATCAGAGCACACTATTTTCTTCACATGTGTTCTTAATAAAGCATTCTCTGTAACAATGTATTTTCCTGGCTCGGGAATGATCTCAAATAGATTCAAAATGCCTGGATTATTAAGCTCCACTGAAATAATTTTATGTGCTTGCCCTGAAATACCACATAAAGACAAACAGCCAAATCAAATCAGCCTCCCTATGCATGTATTCATAACACAGTAAAATTAAAACATTTAATGATGCTTAAAATTGACCCTGAAGGTTCACAACCAGACTTTGAGAGTAACTGACACCATATAGCTTAAACAATATGGTTATCAATTTATTATCAATACAGTAGCTTTATCTGAGGTTGGTTAAACAGCAAAGTATTCTAATCATCGTTGATGATTTAAACCCAATCTCCTTCTGTTCTTGCTTCCACTCATGTGAAAGCCTCCTCTGATGCTGCCTGGCCTGCTGTGTTCATCCAGCTCTACACTTTGTTATCTCAGATTCTCCAGCATCTGCAGTTCCTACTATCTCTCAGACAGACAGAAAGACAGGTTAAGGGATAAATAAAACAAAAACAGAGATATAACTAGCCAGTTCACTGAAGCTGTTTCCATGACACATCAAGTTACAGGACATGGGATTACATCTTTCTGGATTTCTGCAAAGTATGAGGAATACTCATTTAATTCATGTGTAGGATTTTTAATAATGAGCTTGTGGCACATGGGTTTTCTGTATATTTCAAAAGTTATGTGATTAACTTGTAAATATTTCTGCAGTTTATTCCAAAACACAGCACAATAGAGACTTAGAATTACTTCAGTGTGGAAGCAGGCCATTCAGCCCAGCAAGTCCATACTTACTCCCTGAAGAGCATCCTGCCCAGGCCCAGCCTCCACCATATCCCTGCAATTCTCATAACTAATCCACCTATCCTGCACACAATAGATAATTTAGCATAGCCATTCCAACCTAACCTGTACATCTTTCTACTGTAGGAAGAAGGCAGGGCACCCAGAGAGGACCCACACAGACACAGGGAGAATGTACAAACCCCATGCAGACAGTCACCTGGGGCTGGCATTGAACCTGGCTTCCTGGCACTGTGAGGCAGTAGTGCTAATTACTGAGCCACTGTGTTGCACATATCCAAGGTCAGATTTTTTTATATCCTCAGGCCATGAAACCAGAAGGCCATACAGCCAATCAATTCTGCTCTGCCATTGATTTAGATCAGAGCTGATCTGATAATCCTCACCTCTACTTTCTTGACATTTTCCCCATAACCCTCAATTCTTTTACGGATTGGGGATAGGATGGAAAGTTACATTGAGAGAGTTTATGAGAGAAAAATACAAATTGTGCAGCACATTGAGCTTTCAGATAGAAGATTCTGGATTTTTGAATGTGGCTTAGAGGAATCACACATTGCTAGGATGCGGACGCTTTAGTTTCAGCTAGGGATGCTTTGTGAAGTATTTGCTGAAGCTGGATGTGTAAGCAGTTGTTCTGGATAAAGGGAGTTTGTTTCGGACAGTGGGAAATAGGTTACCTTGGTCAAAGGAGCTTAGTTTAAAAGTTCTAAACCAAAAATGTTTGGTGAAAAGCCTGAAGGGTTCATTTCGAAGCTGAGAAAGTCTAAGCAT